AATTAACAATTAGATCTCGAGGGCGAGTGGAATACGAGCTGATAGCACGAGGCTTCGTTCTGATTGGCTACGCTACTCGAGGTCTATTTTCAATAGTCCTCGACTAGCAAAAGGCGACAACTTTTTGCGTATTTCTAGCAATAACAACATTTAGTTATTTATATAACTCATTCTTTTTTTGTCCAACTAGTATGGTAATTCAAAATAGCCTCTTATTTAATAAAAAAAATCACATCGAAAAGGAAGCTGATCGAATTCCTGATAATATTTTAAATCGCGCCCACATCATTGCAACCTACAGGGCAACATAGTKCCCTGTCCCTCTTCGAGGCATTAGCCACAAAAATCCTTTCGAAGACTGACACCGGTTGTCAAATACTGAGGCACAGCTGTTGAAGAATGCATGACAGACGCGTTTACTGGTCATTAGCATATTACGTTGTTCATCCTTGWTCCCAGGGCCTTTTTCCGWGAGGAGAAATGCATGTTTTTGTATGGTCTTGTATTGTCCTTCAGCGGTTTTTCCATAAAAATTGGCCGACAGCAGAGTGAGCTCAAACATGTTCAAACGAGCGTTAAAATCCCCGTTCTTTTCCCGCTTCGAAAACAGTTCGTCCAAATCCCGGGCAATYAATCTTGCTGTTAAAAGTACGTTAAAATCGCGTCACGTCCCGCGTTCAATCCCGGGGTCCGGGGTTCGGGGGGTTTCAATTCACTAGTGCAAAATGTGATGTACACTAAAAAGATGTTTGTTGCGTTTAGTTTCAAATATAAAACAACGATATAATGACTAGAAGAGTGCTCATCAAAGAAGCAAAGCCGTACTTTTCTAATCGGACTCCTTGAAATAGAAATTGTTCTAGCTGTTGTTTAGAAGTCCCAGGAGATCAATGACAACATGATTATTTTCAAAACGCTCTTTCATAATCTTAATACTTGCACATAAAACACACCTTCTACTGGCGTCTGTAGGTGAAAAAACGTCGAGAAAAATACCGGCCGTTATTTCATTCATATTGAAAACTACATCGAAAAGGCATAAAAAAACTGCACATACACGAAGTAAATACCCTGTATAGTATATTTCCATGTTTATAAAAAGAATACTTGAATGTCATTAGAAAATAAACAAAAGGTTGTAATAAACTTGAAAAAGACATGTCCTACAAAATCTTCCAAGAGATAATTTTCCAGGCAAATTGWTGCGTTTGTTTCCAGCGTGTCACCTGTTGAACACATTACAATATTCATGTACAACTTAAAATAATCGCCAAATACATGTGTTAGAAGTGTAACTGAATTACAAAACAACATCAAAGATATGCTGAGATTTCATTTTAGCTCTGGTGACACTTAAGTTCGTAACATGTTACTGGGGACGAAACTGAAAACATAAATAACAAAGAACTTTAATTGCAAATCAGTGAAACTTCCATGCATTTTCAGTATTTGAGAGTGGTAATGAATAACATGTCAACCCAATGAAATATAGTTTTCGTAAAAACAGTTACAATTTTTGCAATGATTTCATTCATGACGTTTGTGGGAAGACATTCGTGTTATAAGTACATAAACTTCACTTAAACAAACGGTTCGTACAGCTAGTCAGCTTGTACAGCTAGAAAATATGCTGTCGCCACTTAGCCTTACTATTTGTCAAGATTTTGAGCGAGGAGCGTGATTAATGTGAGAGATATTATAAATTCCACTGATTCAGTGATTGGAGTTTGCGCAAGCCGCGTCAAAGTTACGTATAAATTTCAAAGGCCCAAACTTGAGCGTTACATTGATGCGTTCTCTAGGCGTTTTTAAATTGTTTCCATYCCTTCAAGGAAATATAATACAAATAAATCCTTTCACTGTAGAAAATGCTTTAGATAAATATAATTATTATGAAAAAATGGTAATTTTCACCAATTCAGGGATCTAAAAAGGGTTTTAAAATATAGTACAATTGATGGTACTCACTAAAGAATTACAATCCTTGAGTGTAGCTCAACTCCTGTGTAGCTCAGAGAGAGTAATAATAAAACACTTTAGGCAAAAATAGAAAATATACGAAGACGGTTTACTTTGATTCTTCTTGAGTTGGTTTTGTGGGCAGCTTCCATAGGATCACAATTAATCCGAAGTATTAGTCCGCATTAAGTTGCTTACTGATATATAAACAAACTGAAGAAGACCTAAAAATTTAAAACACTAATTTGGTAACAAAAAAATTATTGTCAGTAAACGTTTGAATTGTAAACCCTGGGGAGTGAAATGGGAGTGAAATGCTCAAAAAGTCTGTCTTAAAAGTATATCTTCTYTACAGAAAATTGATCGATTCAGATCGAGATCGACTGGTTTTTGTTTCGATTTCGTTCGATTGTCTTCGTCGAGTAAAAATCATATTATGAGAGTATTAAAGTCCCATTTTGAGTAAAAAGGGAAATATTCCCTTGCCTACTAAATACTGAATTGGCAAGAACGATTATCCAATGAAAATAGCCGAACGTTTGGCACTGTTTCTAACGACAAGGGTTTAGTATTTGTGTATATCATCTAAAGAAACTTACAGATATTATAGTGAACGAGTTGTAAATACTTATGGTCCTGCCCTTTGATAAAAAGGACATCTAACACAAAACTACAAGTATCCCAAGAGAAGCCATTACATTCACATTGATTTGTGGAGCTCTTACTTGAATTCTGAAATTCTGAAGCGACTAGTTTATGAGTGCACTTGACAGAAATTTGAAGTTTTGTCCTTGCGAAAACATGGACTTTTACTAGTTTTCATATATTTGTAAGTAATATTTATTTACAAGCCTTAATTGACACKGCATGTATAAACATATATGTCAAAATATCTTGAGAAATGAAATGCCACTTCCAATATCCATTACAATTATAAAAATCAACAGCAAAAACTCTTGAAAAGTGATTAGCTAATTGGAAAATAAAGACTTTAAAAAGATCGACCTCCGTGGAGTTTGACACATTATAAGGTGGCTCTACATATATATTATGACATCGGTGCTCATCTCGGCATGAATATCTATTTAATAYGCCATGAAATGGTCAAGATACTGTGTAGAATACGGTCGATACTTACGGTCGATATTTTGTAGTGTCCAAGTTCTAGAGTTTAGTTTATATGAGTATTTCATATTGTGAATTTATTGACACTGGTAGATTTTGTTAAGTTGGACAAACTTATTTTCTTCTGTAAATATCATTTGATTTAGACTGCAAACTTCTCGCGAACTACACAAGCAATTAGATAAGACACGGCAAAAAAGCGACGTTTGAAGCGGGCGTTCAAAGTGCTACGATAAATCGTCATTTAAGCAAAGTCACAGCAATGTAAATTATGAAATACAAATTTGAATTGCGCACAAGTAAAACAAAAAAAATTAAATAGCACTTAAAATCTTAAATAGAAACGCTGGAATAAAATCATGCTAGAAACACAGGACTGAGACAAGTCCATAGCAAAGTTCCCAAAATGTTTCAAAACTCTATATAGTTTTACAAATTTGAAAAGTAAAGATCAAAATTATTATCAATTTGAACAGACGATAGCCTTACTCGAGCAACAAGATTCGAAGAAAGAAAAACGTTTCAWCGGAAATTAAATTAATTACAAAAGCMTACATTTTGAAGCTATGAATGTACAACGTTTTCGTAAACAAACTGCAACCTGCTATATGCAAGGATTAACCAAATTCCTGAGATGAGCGTTGGAAATAAGTAATTATAGGCGATGCTCTACAACAAACACGAACTCCTTACCTTACTGATGCGTGCCTCAAACCACAGTGTACAAATGTATYAATCAAAAAGCAGAGATGAMTTAATAAAAAAGTGTTTTYTCAAACGCAGGACCAGATTACAAAAGATAGGCATTTCTCTTTTGTAAACCAAGCTTTGAGGAGTTGAATGTTTACGCTTTTAWAATGCTTCTTGAGAAAGACCATCGCTAGGTAACAATTTGAAACATTGTTCAACTTAACATAAGCTGACAGTGTCGGAAGTTTTGTCAATGTAATTGAATGTAAATAACAATGTCCTAACTACATATTTTCTCTTCTGAATTAATATCGTTCGAGAAGATGAAAGTGTATACAAAWATACGTTCATCAAATACAAGTGGCATTTTTTTAATTGAGAACAATGAAAAGTTCTAATTCAATATATGAATGCATGAGTGCAGAAATTATTCTTGCTATAGTGCGCTAAATATGGAGCCAAGCTCTGTTAAAAAAGAATACTTTCAAATTAGATATTATTATTTTTATCTTGTCACTTGTTCCGTTTTATTAATATCTAGATTCCTTTTTTCTTGTATTGGTGAGAGCAATAAATAAACAATTAGACTTTCTTTTAATCAACCAGATATGATAAAAACGATCGCTGTGCCTTAGACGGGAAGTTTCTTCGCCHCGTTGAAGGACCAACAACCGAAACGTCAGTACATTTTCTATATTTTTTGAGTTCATCATTGTATTTGTATAATTGTTGAATAACAAACATCGATTCCATCAGTACAACGCCAATTAAGCCTTTGATATTAARGAACTGAACATTAGTTCATTGGCTTTGGATCTAATAAAGTTTCTAACGGTGCCGACAAAAGAAGTTATGTACAGTTGTTATAATTCAAAAACAAAAAGCCCGCTTTGTAAACAGTTCTTAACGTAGCCTTTCTCTGATGCTGATAAGAAACTTTATTCGAACAGGACGCTTTGACCGTTTAAACCGAGGTCATTTTTTATTAAGATGTGCAAACCCTTTCATGAGAAAGTTTCTCGAGAAGTAGAACGGTCTTATACGCCCCTTAATCATGTTTTGGGAAAATATTTTTAAAAGTTAACAAGAAATTGCATTATTAATGATAGCACAGAATAGCGTACGACAAATAATTCAAAGCGTTCATGCTTCAGGTTAAAATTTTACCTATATCTTATACTTAAAACTTATATCAGCACGTCGACTAACTCAAGAAACAGCAAACGTTTTACCTAATAACACGGTATTTATTGCAAACGAATAAAACTGTATAATCTATACAAGCAATCATTTCAGATCTTTCCTGCTTATTCAGAGCTGCAGGAACTAGTCAACATGCGTAGCAATTTCACACGGTTTCTAAATGTACAATAATTTATAAGTAGAGTGCAATATTTGTTTTGTCATAAACCATATTTTTTCTTTAAGTTTTCAATAGATTCGCTGGAACAGCTGTTCGAGTCTTTGTTTTCTTGGACGTACAAGAAGAGACTTTGGAGGACTGTTAGAAAGAAAGAATAGACGAAGAGTTAAAAGAGATTAAAAATTGATTAGTGGGAATAAAAAAAAAGTTAAGAAAGAGTCTGAATAAGAAGGAAGATGTTTTTCAAGAAATATTAGAAAGGTGAAACTGAAGAAAGAAACAAGTGAAGAAAGCATGAATGGAAGTACAAAATGACGAGGCATTAAAGTAATTTAGTAGGAACATTTTTATTGGTAGATTAGCCGTGTTTAATTAGCCTATCAGGACATGGATTACAATGCCCGGCGCGCGCGCGTCAAGATTTATGAATTTTCCCGCCATTTTTGACGGTACAGGAATAGCCTGTTTATAGTTCAAGTTGGTGAACACTAGGTCAACACTAACCTTTCTTYTGGTCTTCTGATAAGAACATTACGGCCATACCAAATCTTTGWACTTGGGCAAGGCTTTGTAGCTCTGTGAACACGGGTAGATTGGCTCTGTGAAAAAATACAAGCTTAAATAAGTTGGGAATAAAGAGTAAAGAATAGAAGAACATTTATAGCATTGTTGTCCGTCATTATCACAATAAATACACATATTATAYGAATTTTCACTTTCACAAGAGCTCATTAGAAATCTGAATTGAAGTCCCACTTATAACCAAGAACCATTGCGGTTGTTTGGTTTGTTTTAGAAAAGATCTGAAAGATGCTTTCTGATTGGTTCAGAAATACAGCACAGATGAAAACAACTTAATCCTGACCATCCATAAATTCTCCATATAACCAAGATGGCGCAATTTCTGTGTGCAAAATTTATCGTGTGCAAAAATCGTGCAAGGTCTCGTCTTTAGTAGAGAGAATACCACAAACAATTACTTTCAAGAAATCAAACCGTATATGAACTGAATTCTTTAAACTAGTACTCGTTGCCAAGTAATACTAGAATTAGTCTTTCTAAGAGCTCACTGTACTTTTCTCTTGTCATGGGATATGAGCAAATCATACACAAAAACTGAATTATATTGTACTTACTTGATGTAAAAGTCGTGGAATATTTGGATAATGGCGGTTAACATATCAGAGTCTATCGACTGTTGAAATAGTTTTGGGTATGACTTGGGATTTATTTTCTGCAAGATTAAAATGCACTAACTTAAATATGATTAGATCAAATAAATGGTTGTAGGTTGGTCTATTCATTATGATGTAAGCGCTACTTCAACCTATAATTAAGTTATTTATTATTGTCGAGCTTTCGGCTCACCGAGCCATTATCAAGACGGAATGAAAAACGTTACATTTTACAAAACAACATATCAACATATGTTGTTTTGTAAAATGTAACGTTTTTCATTCCGTCTTGATAATGGCTCGGTGAGCCGAAAGCTCGACAATAATAAATAACTTTTAGGTTGAAGTAGCGCTTACATCATTATTAAATATGATTGTCCATTCTTCAAAATCGGTTGGTTAGTTGATTATCATTTTTGCTCGCTTTTTTGCTCTACACGTAGTTCCTTGCTTGTTTGCTCGCTTGCATCTTTGCTTGTTTGCTGGCTGGCTTGCTTGCTTACAAATTTGCTTGCTTACTGGCTTCTTTGCTTGCTTGCTCGCTCACTCGCAAATTTGCTTCCTTGCTTGCTGGCTTCTTTGCTTCCTCGCTTGCTTCGACCTTATTTACTCGTTTCATTGCTTGTTTACATGTTACATGTTTTTCTGATTGTTTGTTTGTTCAACTTTCTATCATATCATACCTTTAAATATTCAAATAKCTGTGSAGGCTCATTTCGTAGTATCTTCCARTCTGCTTGYAGCTGCATTGAAGACTTCGGTACGTCGAACGCTCTTGGTTTGTTTACCGTTACTCTTGTGGTCTCTTTGGGTTTTGGTCTCGTGTCCTCTTTTGATTCTTTAACATTTSCCATTGAAGAAACCTTTTCTTCCGTTCTCGACTTATCTTCTGTAATTTCTGTAATTTTACTTTTGCTATCGTTATGAATATTTTCTTTCTCTACTTGGTTAGTGATTTGTCTATCTATCGTTCTGTGAGCTGTACTAGTGTGCTCTGTTTCACTGTCGCTACTATCAGATCCAATTTCATCAATGTGTATTCGTTTTAGTGGTACCTACAAAACAAAACAAGTAGAAATGATAAGATAAATATATAAAATGATGATAGTTGAGAGTAAGGGAAAGGAGACATCCAGGAAGAAGATGCAAAAACGAAGCGCAAAACAGAAAAGGTAAATGATSAGTGCAAGGAGAGAAAGAAGAGAAAAAGAAGACAAAAAATAAAAAGAGATCAAAAGATGTACGAGAAACTACAAAGAAGACGTTAAATGAAGAAGTCGATAGAAAAGAATAACACCAAGAATGAGGGGGGAAGGGGGGAATGGGGGAGGGGGGGGGAGAAGAAAGTGAAGAGCAAGCAAGACAAAAACAAAATAGATAAATAGTAAAAAAAAGAAGAAATTTACCTTTGGTCTCTTGACTTCAAGATTTTTCTTTTCTTCCTTGTCGGATTGATTTACATTAAGTATCTAGAAAAAGTAATACAATAAATATACAGATACAGATATTAGTCTCAATCATATATAGCAACAATCATCACTACATTTAACTGAGATATTATTGTAATTTATCCACTTGAGGTTGATGCCACCCTCTATGCAAACATACTTTGACATCATAATGATATAGGGCAATTCCAACATACTTTCTGTAGCTTTGCCATTTCTTGTTGCGCTTGTTTGTTGCCTGGTTCAAGTTGTAGCACTTGTTCATAGTCAGCTAAAGCCTCGTTAAGCTTATTCAAGTGAAAGCGAGAAGCAGCTCTCCTGAGGTAGGCTTTGGTGTATGTATTATCGATGTTTATGGCCAATGTGCAGTCCTCCTCTGCTGCCCCATACCTACAAAGTATTGACTTAATGGAGGGTGACATGGACATTGTTCCCAGGCCCTTAGTCCAGACCCCTAACGTAGGGATAAYGGCCTGGGAACAAGATTAGGGTGGAATTTTATTGATAAGATTGTCTTCATACATGTAAGTATTCTGTATTCAAATATTTTGCTAATTCTAATACTTTTACAGCTGAAATTAGGAAGTGACAGAGCTTTATAGAAATTCTGAGGCTTTTTTAAGAAAACAAGATTTGGCAACTTTTAACATTTTTTTGTATGTGGAGTTGAATAGTTGAGTTTTGCAATCTATTTTACGCTGTGTTAGTCTCAATTGTGTGCAAAATATGCAGAAATTTTGATAAAACTCATGAAATTTCAAGCTATTTCCATTGTCTTTTATACTCACAGACCTCTTGCATCACAGGCTGTTAGTGAATAAAAGAATTTATTACATGGTTTTAACACAGTGTAAAAGAGATTGYTAAAAGAGTTTATTCCAGAATACAGAAAAAATCATTTTCTTTTGTAACACTATAAAAATAGCCATCATATTCTGTCTACCACATATTGTTACCTATTAACTTTAAGCAGTGCCATCGCTCTATTAGCAGGCATAATAGCATTGGATGGATCGAGCTGACTGGCTACAGTATAACGATTAATGGCTTCTTCATACTTTCCCTCTTTGAATAAATCATTACCCTGAAATATAATAAAACTAGTATCTATGAAGATACATGTAGAGTAGCCTTATCATCTGCTGTCTTTATCTGGGTTTGGGATACCTGTTTTCTGATAAGACAAGAGGGGGCTATGGGATTATATCTCAGGCCCCTGTGCCACCTGTAATATACATCTACTGTACTCAACTTTTTTCAAGGTCTTATTTTTGTCTTGACATGATGATCATGATGATGATGATAATGATGATTACAAGGGTTTTATAGCCAGTACATGTTCATATCCAAACACAAGACATTCCTATTTGTAACTTTCTACAATGGACATCCACCTGTAAAGCCTTCATTGACAAACTTTACCTTGTCCTTCTCCAAAACTGCTTTCTGTAGCCTTTGCTCTTGTTCAATCATCTCTTGGTACTCTTCATCTTCTGAACTACTTGAAGTAATGGTTTCCATTTCTTCTTTGTCATCTATTGCTTTCAATTCATCCTCCTGAAGTTCATTTTAAAATTATCAATACAGTCAATTTGCATATAAGGCAAATGTTGACAAAGCACATCTGTCAGTCATTTTGAAAAAGAGCAACCAGAGAAGCCCTTGGAGAAGGTTGCTTCAAGAACCTCATAAATATACAGTCATGCTTTAAAATATACAGGCTTCCAGTAGATAGATAGATAGTTTTGTTAATAAAATATTTATCAGCCCGTGAAGGCTGAATTTAATATTATAAAAAGAAACTTAAAAACAAACTACAAATTATGAATTATTAAAGTCAAGGTTAAATATTAATTAATATTATTAAATATCAATGAATAATAATGTCAATGAATGCTGTTTCTGTTAATGCTTGAGGCTGTGATAAATGTGTTCTTAAAGCGATCAGTTTTCCACTTTCATATAGAAAAATATCTGTTATGCCTCRGAGAAGGTGTTGGATTGCTCTTGGGAGGTAGCAGCTTATTGAGACGGTTATCACTTTCTTTACTATGGCATCAAACAGAGTCCTATGTTCTAGATTTGAGTCAGCTAACAGAAATTCACATAGTATATGCTAGTACTGGGGTGGCATGGGTGGCCTAGTGGTTAAGCTGCTGGCCTCTCACCGCTGTGGTCCGGGTTCGATTCCCGGCCACGGACCATATGTGAGTTTGAGTTTGTTTGATGTGTTGTTCTCTCCCTTGCCACGAGGGTTTTTCTCCGGGTCCTCCGGTTTTCCTCCCTCAGCAAAAATCAACATGTGAGGAGTGTTGTGTGCTAAAATACTTAATGTAGAGGTAGTGAGTGTGAGAGTATAGAGTGCCACAAGTTCATCAGTTCTTTACTGGCATGTGTTTACCCTCTTAAAATAAATTTGATTATTTATTTACTTACCACATTAAACTTATCCCATGCATTGTAATCATAGGAACTTATTCGTTTTGGTTCTTTTGTGCTTTCTCTAGTAGCTTCCTTTTTGATCTTAGATTTCTTCTTTCTACTTAGATTTCTTATTGGTGGAAGATTCTGAAAAAAAATTGAATTAGTATACTATAATATAAATCTATTAATTAATTAATTAGACTCAGATTACAATGCTGATCACTCAGAAGAAGATTTTAAATAAGAACGACACAGAATCCAATAGATTAAAATTATATCGATAATTAAAGGTGGCAGGGTAATTCTAGAGTTGAGTCACATTTGATGTGAAACATATGTGACAAGGTCAAGATTATGTGACACCCATATTTGGGAAATTGCGTGAGTGATCACGTTTGTAGCGCGCGCTTTATGCAAGTAAATCAGTTCTGCTCCAGATTCGGTCGTGTTTGGTTGTGTGTTAGTTTTCTCTCTTATGTTTTTCCAACAACTTATCAATACGAACGTAAAGTAAACCACAACATCTAACTACATCACTTTTCAACCCGGTTACACATAGACAAAGAAATACTATGAAATCCTTAAGCTTAAGTTAATTAGCTTACTAACAAAAAATAAATTGCAAACGTGTATTGTATCAACATCTGTTGTTGAAACAACTCCATGGAAAGTCTTGACGCCATCCGTGGTGAGTCAAAACAAAAGCTAGAGAAAGTTTAACTTAAAAACAGTTGCTATATTAACGTAAACGATTTCAGCCTGACAGAACCATCTGACAGGGATAATGAAAGATTAAAGTTTTCGTCAAAATCGGTCGAATTCACTTACCTTTTTCGAAACTGTCTTACAAGACATAAGTTCTTCGTCTTTCCTCTTTATATCTGCCTCCCATCGGTCCAAATCTTTCATAAACTCACCAATTTCTTCGGCATTTTGACGAACTTTTAACTGTACACCTAACCCACTGTCCGCCATTTTTGTTTTGGTAACCACTCCTTGCTTGCAGACAAAGGGATCCCGTAACTAGCAATCACATTTGGTACTGATATGAAAAATTAAAATTATAAAATTACCATAAAAGAGATAGGAAAAAGGGAAGTGTTTTATGATTCTACTTTTTGTTTCTAATTTTCCATTTATTTACATTGCTTTTCCAATAATAGGAAAGCTAGCTGTGCTCAAAATGTAATTATTAGGTTTTTTTTAATTCATTTTCGTTTATTCTCGTATCTTCGGCAAAGAGTTGTGAGTTTTGACGCAAACGCGCTAACCTAAATAATGCGATTTTTATATTTTCAGCCATCATAGCTTTTTTGCATAAGAAGAACTCAGTTTATAAGCACAACAAAAGGACTCATTCAATTTTGTAAAGACTAGCTTCCTCAGGTAATTCGATATTACATAACACACGGCCTTTATATAATCAGCATTCGATAACTTTATATTAAATATAAAAAACAAAGACAAAAATACGATAAAAAAACATCTAGAAAAGAAGAGAAAAGAAAACCTCTGGGACCAGGGTATAATTATACATGTATTTGTTTAATTTTAATTGAAAAGGGGATGCATGGTGTGCAATGCTATTGTACCTTATCAACGGGTTTATCGGTTTAAATGTTTGTCGATTAGTACTAATCATGAACGATAACTAGGCGCTCTTAGAGCGTGAAGTCTATTTTATATAGAATATCCCTCCTGGCTCGATATTTCTAGTGTTTTGACGTCGTTGCGCCAAGCCGCCAGAAAAGAATATCGCGGTGCGTAAATAAACAATTAGAAATGAGCCGCACATCTATTAATTAATAATAAAAAAACAAGTGAAAGGTATTCTACGCCATAGAAAATATCTATCAGAAATATTAATATCTTATTTTATAGCGAGGATGTAACATAYGATTTCATTGGGTAAAAAGCGAGCCGCACTTTCCCGTACGGAGAAAAACTTTTTATCATATTAAAAAAAACTCACTTTCTCTTTTTTTGTAGTTATACTGCATAAAACAGAGTCTTCTTTTTAGTCCTMGTTTCTCAGACGTTCCTTTTTTCATAGTTTATTTTGAATGACGATAAAAGTACGAATAAAACGTATTTTTATGTCTGATTCTCTATTAATTTTACTATTTTTTAGTCCCTGAAAATGCTATATAATAATATTGCTTACGTTTATTCTGTTCCTTTAATACGTCGTACGTGGAAAAATAMATCCAATCTTGTGAATATCGGAAGTGTTGTGTCACGTAGCAAAATGACGACCAAGAATCAATGAAAAGCAATGTTAATTGCTAGATCTGTACGTTAAGCCCCGKGTACACGAACAATTTTTATGTGACATCTATGTGTGGCAATTTTTATTTGTCCGTGTGGACTGGCAGCAAAGATTCGCGATTGAAGATTGAAGATTCGCGCCAAGTGTGATTTTGCACAGCGGAGATGCCAATAAACAAAACTGAATTTGGTTGGTTTTAGCTCCTACAACAACAATAATACCATTCTCTCTGTCGATCCGGTCGTTCTGCTTACTATCGGAGTCGCCATTTTGGTTCGTGTGCAAAATGTTGAGACTGGGATTTAGTGTAACGTCAAAATAATTGCCACATTTTATGTGACGCTCGTCCAYACGGGMAATTTTYGAYATGTGACAATTTTTAGTTGTCACATAAAAACTAGCATGCCAGCTTTCCAGCAACTACAGTTTTCACATAAAAATTGACCAATTTTGCTCATCTACACGGTCAATTTAAAAWTTGTCACATAAAAGTTGACACATAAAAATTGCTCATGAAGACGGGGCTTAAATTATGCAAACAAAAAATTAGCGCCCYTTGGAAATGAACCGTTATCCTTTCTTCCGACAAACAGCTATCGCCTGAGCGGATTTACACATGCTCATTTTTTGAAGCGTATRCTAATAAATCAAACTGATTCAATGATTCGGCATATGGGTCGAAAACAAGCCAACTTTAACAAGTTAATTATGAGGAGCGTTAAGTACAAAAGTAAAGTAAAATTTTTAATTRACCTCGACCGACGGAGCCAACGCTGGTTAAATCAAAAAAGGGAGACATGGATTGTCATTTTGACCGTATTGGGGTATGCTAAGGGGCGATCCACTGGATTTTTAAGGAGGGAGGGAGGTTAGACGATTTTGAAAAAATAATTCTGCACGGAAAATCTGAAGTAAATTTTAAAAAAAGAAAAAAAAAACAAGCGAGCGCCTGAAGGGAAAAAAAATCTTGCACGGACAAGATCTTCCAGCCTTCGACCCCCCACCTCCCTCTTCCTCAAAATCATTCTAATGGATCGCCTAAAAGAGGCGAAAACGCGGTAATAATAATGATGTATCGCTTTCAAAGCATAAGTGTGCATTAATAACTTGAGATAAAAGAACTAACTAGCCAATGACAGGCTGCCCTAGTAAAAACAATGCTTTCAACCGATTGTTAACCATCTTTGAAAATTGCTGGCCATGTGCTATAAAGCTCATTGAGCACACGTCAATTCCGTTTGCTGTGTCTGACAGCTTAGTTTTTCCTTAGTGTTCAGTCGGTTCAGTGCATATATTACACCTACGCCGACACATCGACGAAAAAGGCTATCAACACGACAGTTATCATAGCACTGGTGAGTACTGTTGCCCAGAGTATATATAGTTTAACGTTAGTGAGTTAGGTTAAGTGTTAGTCATGTTTTATACTACTACATTTAACCAGAAATCTTTCGACTACCAATACTTAGGAGAAGCCGACTGTTCTTATAATGTCTCAGCCAGCTGTAAGTGATCCGCACAACTGGTTGCCAATGAGAAAATCAAGAAAATAACTCTCCAGGAATACTTTCCAATGATTTTTGCCAGGAAAATAAAAATGTCCTAACTAAAAAATATATAAGCCGTTTTTGACCATAAAACGTTTGCCAGAGGAATAAAAACTCCTTCGGACCCCAAAAAAACTGATAACGTTATGCAATAATGATAATGTTAAATTGGTTCTCCTGAAATATGATTTCTAGAACAAATTTTAACCTTGAAGTTGAAAATGCAAGCAAGAAATTATTTTATAAATTATCGAAATCSCAGGCCTTAACATGCTTGAGTTAGCCGATTAAACACTAAAAGGTCCGGCATAGAGCAAACGAACCCATTATTCTCAGTGATCCAACATTGATGAGTCTCTCCTTAAAAAAAATCTATCAATTAACATGAAAGGATACATTTTCTGGTTTTTATGTTGGCAAAAACATATATTATTTAAAAGTATATAAAATACAACAATGAATACAGCCTTTTGCAAAAATTATGAGAATTGTCTAAATATCTAAATATCATAATATCCATATCCACATATTGTCCGGAACACGAGGGTTTACTAGAATAATTCATTGTTTACATCGAGGAAATGTTCAGAACTAAGGATAAGTCTGTCGCCAAAAAAACTAAACAATAAAGACAATGGACTAAGGCCATCGCGCGGGATCATGCACTTGATATTATGATATTTAGATATTTCAACAATTCTCATAATTTTTGCAAAAGGCTGTATGTCTATGTATATATATATACGTGCACATTAATTTGTATCAACAAATTATCTACTAGACATAAAATATACTACTAAAATTCAATCATATTATAAACCAGACTTCAACAAATCAAGACCTAAGTCAGGAAACTATTGTCATAGCGGAAAAGATCAAAAATATCTTGAAGTCKTTTTTGAACATTCCGGAGACGCGAACGAGTATTAGAAAATAGCATGTTTAATATTACAATCTTTTTCTAGCYGTTAACTATGCTGGAGATCTGTGCGCATGGCTAATTGAAAAAGACRATAGACTTCTGAACCTTTTACGTCACTACTTGATTTTCAATGCATTGTGCATGGGATTAGTTTTTAGAGAAAACAAAAGAAATCCGCCGTTTTCTGTCCCAAACATGTCCTACAATAAACTCACACTTTACCTCATTCCATCTCTTTACTCCGACGAMGGATGAACGTCCGAAACGTCAGTAAGTTGTTTCACCTACTTTTTTACGGTGTTTAATTTATCTTTTTACACAACTGTTTCTTAAGAAACACCGACGCAGCTCACACTAGTTTACCCGCTAGTTCCCGCCATGTTCTACAATGCATTGCGTATACGGTAGTACGTGACGTAAAAGCTTCAGAGGTGTATAATTGCCTGCGATCTTGATGGTATATTCAAATTAAA